TTGTTATTTCCTCGTAATTAATTCGGGTAGGAATTTCAGATTAGTGAGTACTTGGAGTAGAAAATAACGTATATGTATTGTCTTTCGGTATTATTGCAGCTACCCTATAATCATTTCCACGTGATCAGCACTGGGACCGGGGCACTGGAGCAACGTTTTTGACGTTTCGACTAATTCGTCGTTTTCAAGACCTGAAAATGGCTTGAAGTGCTCTATTTGTAATCCACCTGGCCGAGCCTTAGGCTACGTTCATACATGATCACGATGCAGAAATGACGAAATGACGGACAAAGAAGTGATAGGGGTCGATCTCTTGGTTCCTGCCGTCGTGCGGAATTGGGAGAAATGCAGAATCTGCAAATTCCGCATTTCTGCATTTCTCCCAATTCCGCGGAATTTGCAGAAATGCCGAAATGACGGACAATGACCTGATAGGGATTGATCGCTTAGCCTCACCAGCGGAATTTCTGCATTTCGGCATTTCTGCACATTCCGCACTTCTGCATTTCTGCATATTCCGCGGTTTTTGAAATCGATAGACATATTTTCTTCTTCTGCAAGTTCCGCGGTTCAGCATTTCTGCATCATGTATGAACGGGCCCTTACTGGAAAGTGCCCTGGTTCCAAAAAGGCCTAACACACCAACTGTTTTCAGACTAATATTTCTATAGATGTGCTCACCACTTAAAAAACTTTCTTTGAAGATAATAGGAGCTGTTAATATTCCCTTGTACCATCGTAGTCTCGTTGACCGTGGAATTCCTCAAGCGGGTGCGAGCGGTCGCTCCGTTCACTCCTGTTGTGAGCCGGAACAGCCCACCAAATTGTTCTCCAGCCGGGAACGTACCCTTCCGCTCAACAGTTTTCGTGCAGAACTTTAGGGAAAGATCCTGGCCGTCCGGCTGGCGGTTATCCTGCCGATGTTACCTTTATTCCCTGCATGCAGTCTGGTTCGCTGCGGGTGGGGGGGTGCGTCCACGCAATTGCGTTTGTCACGCCGGCAAATCCATTCTCCACCAGTTGTGGAGCGGGTAAGTGACAACAACTGGTGAAAAAGGAACGATGTGAACAGCCTTGCCGCCTGTCGAAGGAAAAAAGAGAAAAACGGGTTGGTGCTGCTCCAAACGCAACCGCGCGGACACGCTCCATCATCCGCGGCGAACGAAATTATGTATCGTTCTCTTAGCCGGTATTGCAACTGCAAATTTTCACTGGTCCTTAACTTTGAATCGATTTTTTTCAGGATGGCCACAGTCGTTTCGCAAGTTGCTGTTAACCAAGAGAAGCCAGTTGATAGAGAGAAGGTACTGCTCTAGTCATTTCTATACGTTCTGACTTCATTTGTGCATGCAAGTGCTGTTCACTCACTCCAATGTTCCGATATCTTTGTTTATATATTTAGTAGTAACTCCGCTGCATTTAGACATGCCCACTGCTCTTGAGAGTTTTCTGCGCCAATGGCCGGCATAACCCTATATCCGACTATATGAGAGGTGGAGTGCCAGCAAATGAGCTTCAGATGTATACCTTGGTAAGTTTGTCTGTAATGGGGAGCACCTATGAATAAGTTGTTATTATTTCTTATTTGAGATGGACTGCACTCTCCGAGAGTTGACGTCACTTATCAAAGAAGTCAATCCAGATGCTCGACGTCGTGGAACAACTTTTGATTTTTCAATTGGTACTTGCTTATTTCCTACAGATTCGCCGAGTATTGCGTTTAGTCACTCTGCTCAAACTTTGGCGTAAGTTCTTAACTTGTTTTGTGCCTTACGAGGTTGATAGGTGGAACTATTTATTCAATATGGCCTAACGTTTCGACTGAATCGTCGTCATCAGAGGCCGACGGTTCCACCTTATTAGGGACAGTGTCCGCAGCCACACAAGAGCGACAGTTAGTTATAAAATATAATAATTTATATTATAAATAACTGTTCGCTCTTGTGTAGGCTGCGGACACCGTGTGGAACCGTCGCCTCTGATGACGACGATTCAGTCGAAACGTTAGGCCATATTGAATAAATAGTTCCACCTATCAACCTCGTAAGGCACAAAACAAGTTAAGAACTTACATCTGAAATGCCGAGGTTGCAAGAAGAGAGAAGCTGGAGAATTTGTTGCGGTATGTGCTAATCGTTTCAGTTGCACCCGATCGAATGAATAACCGTTACACCATCCGTGATATTGGCAATACTATGAATGGTCAGAGAGGAGTTGACGATGGTAAATCGGTGAGTCTATTCTCGAAAACTCAAGGCTACGTTCATACTTTGCATCAGCGTACGCCAATGACAGTGTTTCGCGAGTGCCAGCGAATAAAGTATAGGTATTGATCCAGCGTCCAACAGCGTTTTCGACAGCAGTTTTGCTTAAAGACAGCCCCCGCACTCAACAAGTAGTCCAGCCCCAAGCTAAGAGACTGTCCCACTCTCGCGACTCCACAGCGAGCGAGGAGCGAGCTACAGCCGCTGAAAGTTCTAGTTCTAACGCCCGCTCAGTTGGACCGCCCTTGCTAGATGCCCTCTGACGGAGGGCCGCTCAGTTGTTCTTTGTTGGGCGGCGGGCATTAATCGGAACTGCATGTCCTTTTTGCTGACGCGCTCGTGCCCATAAATAATTCTGCTCTCCTTTATTACATTTTATTCATTAGGAGCACATACAGTCAACTGCAACCCATCTCGCAAGGTAAAACGCGTAAAAATCACGAGTGATGCAATTTTCTTGGTGCAAAAGCTCGACTGCACTAAAAGATGCACGCTACCGTAACCCTAAATTCGTACGCAGAGTTTTTGAAAGTTTCTTTTTGTTACGAGTTTTCCGTCGGTGTTTTTGTTGTTTTTCGTATTCTTTTCTTTGCATTGGATGATATCTACTACTGGGAGATGCGAAAAAGCGATTTGTGAGCCAGGGGTTGCACAGAGGCGGTGTGACTGTCAGGGAGCGATTTTGTTTATGGTGTTCTTGAGGACTCTTCTTGCTTTTTTTCTTCTTTGGGGAATTACTTATCAGCTACTGTTCATAACTGAACAGCAACTATCCATGACACATCATCGCGATAAGTGTCTTCAAGTTCAAATTGCCGAAACGCTGCCGCACACTGGCGTACGTTGACGCAAAGTATGAACGCAGCCTAAAATATCGTTCACCCTTGATTGATTCCCCGAGTCGTCGCCACCACCGTTTTGGTCTTGTTTTTCACGAATCGATGTCCACTTAGTTTGATGTGCTGACGCTGGGGCGTGTCGGGAGGGCAGGGTTTTTTCAGTGTCAGCCCGTTTTCCATCAGTTATTGTCGCTTGCACGCTTCAGCAATCGGTGGATAACGGGATGCCGCCTAACCCAGCCTCCCAGTACCACACTCCACAGCGAAAACGACTGCATTTAGTACGCTGAACCTCCTCACCCTAGGGGAGAGAGAACGCCGATGTCCTGGCCGTTGGATCAGCAGTCGTTCCGTTATTCTTTTGGCATCTCGAGAGAAACTGCTGTGGTCCTGCGATAAGATAAACGATAATAAGATGAAAAACTCCTTTTTTGATGTTACTTCAAGAATCCGCCCCGTAACGCCATGTAATGTTCTGTTTCTTGTGTTCAAAGCGCAAGGGTACGTTATTTTAGCAGAGGCAAGCGCGATAGCAAAATGGCT